GACAAACACGACAAGAAGACAGGACAAACACGACAAGAAAACAGGAGCAGGAGAAAAAGCAAGCATCACCACACAGAGGGCAGAGGTGTATGCCACCAGCACCACACAACATACCCCAATGCTGGCAGATGCCCAGGAGGTCCGCCGGGCCCAGGGGGACCTCCGAGTGCAGGAGCACCGCCAGGTCCGTCTGGAAGCGCTGCATCACGATGGCCGGCGGCTGCTCGCTGTACCCATACAGCCGGACGACATGCGCACAGTCACGGAGCAGCCACATGAGGGAGATCTCATTCTGGAAGAGGGCCAGCGAGGTGCGGCCCGGGGCCGAGCCCCCGGCGCCCGCGGCCCGCAGCTGCTTGATGGCCACGGTGGCCGGGCAGCCGAGTCGGTCGGAGATGCCGGCCCCCACGGCCCGGGCGGCGAAGACCGTGGCCTGCGTGCCGGCCCCGAGGGGGGCCCCATCGACCGGGGCAAAGTCCCCCTCCAGGTGGACCATCATGCTGCCCGGGAGCGACAGCTCGACCAGGGTATTGAGCACGGTGGCATCGGCGTCCAGGCCGGGGCCGGCGTCGGGGCCCAGGGCCTTGCGCCGGGCCGCCGCACCCGCCGACCGGCGATACCGGCGCACCAGCACCAGCACCAGCAGCAGCAGCAGCAGCAGCAGCACCAGCCCGCCGATGCCCAGCCCCAGGGCCAGGGCCAGGCGAGATGACCTGGCCTTCGGGGCGTCGAGGCAGGCCGCCGGGGCCGGGCCGTGGCAGCTGGCGCAGCCCGGCGCGCACGCGGCGCAGGCGCCCCCCTCGGCGAAGTAGCCGCCAGGACACGCCTCGACGCAGGGCAGCGCCGGGTCCGGCCCGAGGAACCAGCCGCCGTGGCAGCTCTGGCAGCCGGGCGCCCGGGCGCAGGTCAGGCTGCCGGTCGGCAGGGCGAAGTGGCACAGCCCGGCCCGGGGGGAGGGGGCCCCGGCCGCCAGCCCGGCGCACAGCCCGCAGCCCGGGGCACAGGACAGGCACACGCGCGTCGGCCCGGGCCAGGGGCCACCGGCGTCGGCCGGGTCGAACTCCCACGGGGCCATGCCGGCCGCCGGGCAGCCATCCGCCCGGCAGGCGCCGAGCTCCGGCAGCAGCCACTGGTCGGGCCCCCGGCAGGAGGTGCACCAATCGGCCTGCTGGGCGCATGTCAGGCAGTCGCCATGGCAGGGGGCGCAGGTGGCCAGCCCGGCGGCCAGGTCGTCCGCCAGGCCGGGCCCCGGCCGCAGGAACTCCCCGGCCGGGCAGTGGGCCATGCACCGGCCATCGGTGGCCAGGACCCAGTCCGCCTGGCAGCGAGTGCAGGTGCTGGGGCAGAAGGCCCCCCCCGGGGGGATGGGCTGGCCCTCGGGCGCGGCCTGGCACTGCCGGCACTCCGGCTGGCAGGTGCCACACCGCCGGCCATCGGCACAGGGGAAGCTCCCGGCCGGGGGGCAGGCATCGACGCAGGTTTGCCCGGCCGGCAGCAGGAGCCCCGGGCTCGGGCAGGAGGCGCACTGCTCCGGGCCCGGGCCGTGGCAGGTGGCGCAGGCCGGGTGGCAGGCCGCGCATTCCGGCTTGCCGGAGGGCCCGGCAGCCGGATGGGCCCCATCCGGGCAGGATGCCACACAGGCCCCCTGGAAGAGGGACCGGCCGGGCGGACAGGCAAGACACTGGTCCGCATGGGGCCCATGGCATTGGGCGCACTCCACATGGCAGGGAGCGCATGCGTCGCCGGCGCCGGCGCCGGCCTCGGCGTCGGGGTAGGCCCCGGCCGGGCAGGCATCCCGGCACCGGCCGGCGTGGAGGACCTGCCCGGGCCGGCAGGCGAGGCACCGGTCGGCGGCCGGGCCATCGCAGGCCGTGCAGGTGGCATGGCAATCGACGCAGGCCGACCCGGTGGAGGCCTGGCCCGCGGGGCAGTCCCTCCGGCAGGCGGGCCCGCCGGCGGAGGAGGCCTCCGCCACCAGCAGCCAGCCACGCTCGCACTGGATGCAGGGCCCGGCGTCGGCCGGGGCCGAGCCGCCACCGCCGGGGGCTTGGTCCACCGGCGCCGGGCACCGGACGCACTGGGCCGCGCACGGGGCGCAGGCCAGGCCGTCCGGCGTGGCCGCATGCCCGGCCGGGCAGTCGGCCACACACCGGTGCCCCGGGGCGGGGGGCCCGCCGGGCGCCGGCAGGGCCAGCAGCCCCGGCCTGCAGGCCGTGCACTCGGTGCCCCGGGTGCCGGTGCACTCGCCGCACGAGGCATGGCAGGGCAGGCACCGGCCCCCGAGGGCCACATGCCCGGCGGCGCAGCGCTGGACACACTCGCCATCCTGGACCAGGGCCCCGGCCGCGCAGAGCCAGCAATCGCGATCGGTGGGGCCGTTGCACGCGGAGCAGGCCCCGTCGCAGGGCTGGCACTGGTCCGAGGCCAGGTCGCGGAAGAAGCCGGCCGGGCAGCCGGACTGGCAGGTGGCCGGGCCGCCGGGCTCCAGGGCCAGGAGCTCCAGCCCCGGGGCGCATGCCGTGCACTGGGCATCCCCGGGCCCGGTGCACTGGGTGCAGCCGATGGCGCACGGCTGGCAGTGGCCCCCCTCGGCCGGGCCGCCGGGGGGGGCTGCCTCGTCGGGGAACCACCCGGGCGGGCAGGAGCCGGAGCAGGCGCCCCCGCCCGGGGCCAGCACCAGCCCGGCCTGGCAGGAGAGACACTGCCCCGGCTGGCCGGCGGCCAGCATGCAGGATGCGCAGCCGGCCGGGCAGGCCAGGCACGGGCCCAGGCGCTGGCCGGCCGGGCCGCCGCCGGCGGCCGGGTCCCACGCATGCCCGGCGGCGCACAGGAGGCAGGTGTCCGGGCCGCCGGAGCACAGGGCGCAGGAGGGCCCGCAAGCGAGGCACCGGCTGCCCGAGGGGTTGGGCGTCTCGCCGGCCGGGCAGGCATCCACACACGGGCCGTCATCCGGGCCGGCCACCGGCAGCAGGAGCCCCGACCGGCAAGTCGTGCAGGAGAGGGAATCCCGGCAGGAGGCGCAAGAGGCATGGCACCGGTGGCACCGGCCATCATGCAGGAAGTGCCCGGCCGAGCAGCGGACACACGCGTCGGCGGCGCCGCACTCCAGGCAGGGGTCCGCGCACTGGAGGCACGCCCCGCCGCTGGGGTAGTGCCCGTCCGGGCAGGCCTCCCGGCAGATACCCCCGAGGAGGAACCGGCCCGGGGGGCAGGCGGTGCAGGAATGCTCATTCCCCGGGATGGAGCACTCGGCACATTGGGACGCACACTGCTGGCAGGGCTGGTACAGGGGCGTGCCGGCGGCTCGGACATGGCCCGGCTTGCAGCTGCACTCGAACGAGCTGTTCGACAGGAAGACGCACGCTTGGCAGGCGCTCGGGCAGGCGCACACCTGGGGCTGGGGCCCCGGGCCCGGGGTGGTCATCCCCTGGGGACACATGGCGACACAGTGCGTGGACGCCTGGTGGGGGTACAGGCGACAGGCGGTGCAGGCGTCCGGCCCGGGCCCGGTGCAGGTGTGACACAGATCGTCACAGGGCCGGCACTGGCCCGGGGTGGTGGTGCTGCTGTCGAGGTACTGGCGATCCGGGCAGCCGGTGGGGCTGGGCTCCGGCAGGGGGAGGACCATCTCCCACAGGGAGGGCGTTTGGCGGCCGGCGGTCAGCAGGAGGGTGACCGTGGGCAGGGTGGCCGCCTGCATCGGGGGGGGAGCCAGGCTCAGCAGGGCCACGGACGCGGCCCCGGGGGTGACGGGCTGCAGCTGCTCGGTGCTTTGGACATGGGGCTCGAGGAAGATGCAGGACTCGGGGCTGGTGCCCGGGCAATGGAGCAGCATCACGGCCACCCGGGTCGGCAGGAAGAGAACCACGAGCCCGGGGTATTCCGGAAGGCCGGCGATCGCCACCGGGTGCTGGCTGAAGGGGCTGGTGTCGGACGTGCCAAGGTCGAAGCTCATCGACCGGGGCAGGAGGCCAAGCGTCCGGCCATGGGGCCGTACATCCCGCGGGACCATGTGCAAGGACCAGACCCCGGTGGCCGAGACACCGGCCAGGAGCGCCAGATCCGCGCCGCGGCCGGTGGGCAGGACAAGGGGGAAGAGGTCGCCCGAGGTGTGGCCAATGGCCCGGGGGGCGGCCGAATCCCGGGCAAGGCGCCCATCGCCCACCCGGACCATGTGCAGGGGCCAGAGGAAGCTATTTGCCGAGCTGGCGGCGAGGATCCACGACCGGAGCGGATCGCCGCCGGCCGACGGGAAGGACGCCGGGTGGCGGTCGGTCTCGAGGAGGGTGTCCATGAGGATGGGCGAGCCGGTGGTCGGGAAGTCCACCAGGAAGAGCCGGTTGCCGTTGCCCAGGACCGAGACCATGCGCGGGGCAATCCGGCGGACGGTGGCGCACGGGATGTCATAGTCCACGGGCGATGAGATGTGCAGAGAGCCGCATGACTCCTGCCCGGGGGATGGGGCGGTGGCACATGTGACGGTTTGGATGCGGAATGTTTGGCCCCCATCACAGAAGGCCAGATGGAGGCGCGCCCCGAACTCGGCATCCGGCAGGGGGCCCACCTCGGTGAGGGAGACAATGCCGACCAGGTCCAACAGCGGGTCATTGATATTCATGGGCCAAACTTGGAAGGAGGGGCTGCCATGGCCGACGGCCGGGCGGGCATTGGGCGACAGCAGCCAAAAGGAGGGGGTGTTGGCGTTGCCGACCGCTTCGGTGAGTGGCAGGAATGCTCCGGCGCCGAGGAAGATCAATGCCGTGCGAATGATGGCGGTGAATTCCACCTCGGCGGGGTTGTCCACCGGGTGGGTGCCGAGGGTCGGGGCCGCAGGCGCGACCCCATCATCCGGCAGGCAGATGCCGAGGCCGGTGAGCTTCAGCCCGTTGGGGCACCGGGCCTCGCAGGTGGGCGCGTCGGGGTTGAGGAAGCTGAGCATGTATCCCGAAGTGCAGACGAGGCAGCGCGCGGCGTTGCAGACGCTGCAATGTGTCTGGCTGCATGGGGCACATGTGCTGGGGGCTGGCGTGGATGCGTTTGTGTGAGTGAGGGCGAGAGGGCGTTGTAGATGCAAAGAGCGGTGGGCGAGGAGGAAAGCAAGAAAGCGAAGCAGAGACACGGGCGCGGGGAGTGGAGAGGAGAGAGGGTGGAGAGGAGAGAGGGTGTAGAGAGGGTGGAGAGAGCGGAGAGGAGAGAGGGTGGAGAGAGGGTGCAGAGAGAGTAGAGAGGAAAGAGGGTGTAGAGAGAGCGGAGAGAGAGCGGACAGAGAGCGGACAGAGAGCGGACAGAGAGCGGAGAGGAGAGCGCGGAGAACGGCAAGCACGACCCGGGGGCCTGCCGTGGCTGGGCCAGGCGAAGATCCGCCAGGGCACACCACGACGCCGGGTGGCGGTACGCACTGGACTCGGAGAAGGGCGACAGGAAGTTGCCCGGCGCGCAGCCAGCGCACAGGTGCCCATCCAGACGGAGTGGCGAGTATTCGCGCTTGGGGGCACACTCCCAGGAGGCATGAGTGTCGAAGTTCAAGCAGTTGATGGTGCTGTCGGCGTCGCATCGGAACTGCAGGGGATCGAAGAAAAGGCGATTGCCAATGGCCAGGACCCAGCGAGACGTGGGGGATGACGAGCTCCGTGGCAGGAGGAACATGGCAGCATCGGCCAGAGCCGAGTGGGGCACGTCATCCGGCAGGATGACCGGCCACCAGTTGTGGGTGTGGATGTCGACACGGAAGAGCTTTTGCGCGTTTCCCGCCAGGATCCAGGGGACCGTCTGGTGGGGAGCCAGCTCCAGGATGTTGGGCGCATGAAGGAAGGTCGGCTTGAAGCCGTCAGGCAGGGGAACATCCTCACCCAGGGCGGAGTAAATGCTGCCGTCTTGCAGGAGAAAAATGTCGGTCGCCGTGTCGGCTTGCTGGCCCGCCAGCCGAGTGACGACAATCTGGATGATGGGCTGGATGCGGTCCCGCTGGGAGAGGACACCATCGTGGGTGATGGCCATATAGTGAACTCCGCCGTCCCAGACCAGAAACCCATCCAGGGTCGGCGTTGCCCGACGGGAAGCGCCGGCAGGGCTGTTGAAGGGGACGGGATGGGGGGTGCCACTGCCGTCGGAGACATGCATCAGGGCATCTGTGCCATCGTGGACCATCACGCAGATTTGACCAGCGGCGTCGATCGAGCCCGCCAGGAAGTGGCACGGGGAGGCACAGGTGAATGAGAGAGCCCCGCCGGCGGTGAGCGCCCGGAAGGACAGGAGGCCGGGCGAGAAGGCCACCAATATCGGGGTGTCATCCAGGCCGGGGAAAAGGTGACCCGAAACGCTGGGCTGCCCGGCCAACGGGAGGCTGGCCGTGGTGCCCAGCTGCAGGAATGACCCGGCGCGCAGGTCCCCGAAGGAGACATCTATGGTCGGCAGGAACTGGAGGAATTCCTCCTCGGTGGGGAGGGCCACCATGGTGGACCCGCTGTCGGTCGGGCCTTTCAATGGGCGGACATTGGCCTGGCCGGATGGCACAGGTGTTTCTTGTGGAGCAAAGTGCGGCACGCCTTCCTGGACGTTGGCCTGGAGACAGGCCGCCAGGTTGGCCAGGGCCAGGACCAGCAGTCCGAAGAGGCCCACTAGGGCCGGGCCCGGCCGGGCCCGGCGGCCAGCCAGCAAGCTGGGCATGCGGGGGCGCGGTGCGGTGGGCAGGGAGGCCGGGGCTGGGGGCCGGGGCTGGGGGCTGGGGGAGGGGGGTGCGGAGGGGAAAGAAGGGCGAAGGCGGGGGAAGGGCGTGTGTGTGTGTGTGTGTGTGTGTGTGAACAAAAGCCGGGGGGGGTGGGCAGAGGGCAGGCCCCCAAGAAAGTGTTGGCGGAAATGAGCCCCCCCCCCCTCCCCTCCCCGAGTGAGGCGGGCGGGCCTGGTAGTTGGGGTGCGTGGTGGTTGAGGGAACCTGTCCGGCCCCCGAGGGCGGGGAGGGGGAAGCCGCACCGGCGCGGGCGCGCGCGGCGAACCAGCCAACCAGGGGGCGGGCCTGCGCGTACAACCACCCCTCGGGCTCCTTTGGGAGGGGGGGGGGAGAGAGAGAGAGAGAAAGAGGGAATGTGAAAGAGTACGTGCCAGGGTGTGGGTGAGAAAGAATGTGGGCAAAAAAGCAGCCACGCTGGGTGGGGCGTCTAGGCCGCGCCGTCGGGCCCGGCCGCGGGGCTCACACACGCGCCGTCTACCTATGTGTTGCCCTGGCCGGCTGCCGGGCCTCTTCTCCCCGGAGGCCGTGCTGACCGCGGCCCGGCTCCGGCGCGGGGCGCCGGGCGGGGGCGTTCTGCGGGCGGAGAGCCGATCCTCGGCAGGCACCACGCGCGGGGGCTTGGCCGGCGCGCACATGGATCCCCCGGCTGGGGACGAAGGCCCAGCAACCTCCCGATGGGGCAGCCCCCCTGCCACGAGGCGCGCCCCCGCCCCCCGGCCGCCAACGGCCGGGCACTGTTTGTGTTTCAGCTTCCGGTCCGGGAACCGGCGCCCATGGTGGCTTGGCAGGGCCGCACAGGGCGGCCGGGGCACTGACCGTGCCCCTGCCTGCGCCGAAAAGGGCGAGGGACCTCCATGCGCGGAAGAGGCCGTAAAAAAAAAAACACCCGGCGTCCGATGTCTGGCCGCGGCGGAATACCCCCGCCGGCACCCGGGGGGGGGGCCTCTCGCATGGACCGGAGGCGGGAGAGCATGCCCGGCGCGGCGCGCGTACGCCTCGGCGGACCACGCAGCCACCCGCCCCCAGACACAGACACATGCCTGCTCGCGTCCCGCCCCCCCCTCCCCCCCCGCTGCCCATTGCGAAATAGAGCCAACACCTTGGGCGAGCGGAGGATTTCACGAGGACCGGGAAAATGTGCTAGGAGCGCGGCAGATCACATGACAGGGATACGTGCACCGGCGCAAAATGAACGCCTGTCCGAACCAGGACTCGAACCTGGGACATTCTGTGTGTTAGACAGATATGATAACCATCTACATCATTCGGACTTGCGGTGGGGCCGCGCCGGGATCTAAAATAGGCCCTCGCGTGGGGCGGCCTCGGAGTGCGGCCCCCCCGCACATGTGTCCGGTGTCTGCCCCCGGCGCGGGTGGCCGCCTTTTTTGAGGGAGGGCCTCGCCGGTGTCAGACTGTCCCCCTCGGGAGAGTGGCCTGAGCGCCAGCCAAAAAGCGGGGCATGCGGCTGCTTCCCGTAGACATGTGCGGCGGGGGCCGTCGGCGGGCCAAAACACGCGGGGGCACCACGCCAATGGCAGACGAGCACCTGGCAAAATGGCGCGGCCCGGGCAGTATCTCACGCACGGGCGGGCTGGCAACGGGCGTCCAGTCTACACGAGTGCAAATGTGCCTGCCTGCCAGCTTTTTTGGCCAGCCAGCCAGCTTTTTTGCCTTTTTGCCTGTCTGCCTGCCTGTCTGCCTGTTTGCCTGTCTGCCTGCCTGCCTGCCTGCCTGCCTGCCTGCCTGTTTGCCTGTTTGCCTGTTTGCCTGCTTGCCTGCCTGCTTGCCTGCCTGCCTGCCTGCCTGCCTGCCTGCCTGCCTGCCTGCCTGCCTGCCTGCCTGCCTGCCTGCCTGCCTGCCTGCTGATGGGTATATTTACACGGGGAGAAACATACACGGCCGGAGGGCGGACACAAGTCGCCCCCTCCCCCCGCAGGCAAGAGCGACCAGGGAGAGGTATACACCGGGGAGAGGGCGGGCAGGAGAACGGAAGACCGAGGTCCAAGAAAAGGGCTCCACGCGGACGCGCTGGACCTCAGTGGTAGCGGGCCAGGAAGAGGGAGAGCAGAGCGCGAACCGGGCGGCCGGACATGCCGGCAACATGGTGGCCCTCGCCACGGCGGGTGTGCATGACACCGGCGATGTCGAAGTGGGCCCAGGGCTGGTCGTCCGGGACAAAGTGCGCCAGGAAGGCGGCCGCGGTGCAGGCGCCGGCCGAGCGGCCGCTGGCCGGGAGGTTGATCAGGTCGGTGAAGGTCCCGGCCATGGCCCGGCGGTGGCAGTCCAGCAGGGGCATGCGCCAGAGGAGGTCCTGCGAGGCGCGCCCATGGCGGTCGATGCGCTGCCACAGGGCCTCGTCATTGGCGAAGACCCCGGCACAGCCGAACCCCAGGGCCACGTCCATGGCCCCGGTGAGGGTGGCGAAGTTGAGCACGGCCGCCGGGCGGAACTCCCGGGCGTAGTCCAGGGCGTCGCACAGGATGAGCCGGCCCTCGGCGTCGGTGTTGTCCACCTCGATGGAGGACCCCTTGCGCGAGAGGACCACGTCCCCGGGCTTGGTGGCCCGGCCGCCGGGCATGTTCTCGCACAGCGGGATCAGCCCAATCAGGTGGGCCTCCTGGTGGGCGTGGGCCACGCCGAGGATGGTGGCCAGCACCACGGCCGCGCCGCCCATGTCGCCCTTCATGAGGGCCATGCCGTCGGAGGGCTTGATGGAGATGCCGCCGGTGTCGAAGGTGACGCCCTTGCCGACGAGGACCGTGGGCCCGGCGGCCGGCTTCTCGCCGAGGAGGTACTCCACCTCCAGGAAGACGGGGCTCTGTGCGGAGCCTATATCCGGTTGGCCGGGGGGGG